GGCGGGCGTTAGCGACGTCGCGCAGGTGCGTCGCGCGCGCCTGCGAGCGCATCTGCATCGTCACCTGTAACCACGGCAACGGCGGAGGATGTTAGCGTCTGCATCGTCACCTGTAACCACGGCAACGGCGGGCGTTAGCGACGTCGCGCAGGTGCGTCGCGCGCGCCTGCGAGCGCATCTGCATCGTCACCTGTAACCACGGCAACGGCGGAGGATGTTAGCGTCTGCATCGTCACCTGTAACCACGGCAACGGCGGGCGTTAGCGTCGCGCGCGCCTGCGAGCGCATCTGCATCGTCCCCTGTAACCACGGCAACGACGGAGGATCTTAGCATCTGCGTCATCGTCTGTAACTGTGACAATAGCAGATGATGTTAATGTTGTTAATGCATCGTTGCCTGTAACCACGGTAAAGGCTGAGGAGGTTAGCTTCTCCGCGTTGCCTATAACCACGGCAATGGCAGAGGATGTTATCATCTGCTTCGTCACCTGAAACCGCGGCAACGTCAGGGGATACTAGCATCTGCATCGCCATCTATAAGTAATAATGGCAATGACAAAGGATGTTAGCATGTGCAACGTCACCTTCACGTAGCAGTAACAATGTCAGCGGAGGTTACCATCTGTATTATCAGCGTAACCACGGCAACTACAAAACGTCAGTGCCGTGCCACCATGACGGGAGGCAGACGAGGCGAAACCTTGGTCACTTAGGGAAGATGTTTTTTTTTTGTTTTTTTTTATCATCCTAGTTTTGATTATCCAGGCCTGAATTAAACCTCTACCGAGGGTGTGGCCTGTCTGACTTGTCTTCCTCGAAGACGCCCTCTCCACACAGAGCGGTTATGAGGGTCAATTCTTTGATTATGACTAGTCATTCACTAGTAGTGTGAGCTTACCTCAATGTCGATGTTCTTGAATGGACTGGAGCTTCCCCCGCTGTCAGTCTTACTGCTGTTTCCTTCCGGACCGTGGATGTAGTAGTGGTAGATGTTCCTGCAGCAAAACCCACAGCAACTTTGCATTTTACTTCGTTTAACATCGTTTAGTTATCGCCCATTTTTAGCGAGTTATTTTTGTTATCTTATTTGTGAGTGTGTGTGTGGAAACGTTTATTGGCACAAACGAGCTGATATCCATAGTGCAGCGAAGACACCCACAGCTACAACAGCCATCTGCCACCCCACTACATCCTCTACATTTTCTTTTGGTACTGTATACACATATACATACATACACGTACACACATATATGTGCATATACATGTATACATACCAAAAATGCACCATGATTATAGCACGTTCCTGTCACGATCATTCACGTCACAGTTAATACTAAGTCTTGTCTATGTTCTATA